GACCCCTTTGACACCCCCTCGCGACCCACCCAGGGGTCCTGACCCCCAGGTTGAGAAATGCTGAACTAGATGGATAGTGGTAGATCCCAGCCTTTAGATATGAATTTGCTACAATGATGTAGAAAGTGTGTTTGACAAAAAAGTAAGGATTCCTGACCGATTTACTCATCATTGATGAACAAAAAGGTTATTTTGGCTGGAGACGTACTTCTGTAAATTATTCATTTCTGCCAGGGAGAGATAATATTTCAACCAAATGTCTTTCTGCAGTAGGAATTATTTTGAAAATGGTGTTTCTGTTTATTTTGACAGAATTTGCACAGAGAAGCATTTGATTGGCGCAACTTCAGAAAAAAAGGAGAAAGAGGGATTTTGTCATCCTTTCATGTTATCTTATGAATCCCCTTCTAACATAATGCTATTTCAATGCGCATATTCTAAAATATTTAGTTGCATATTTATTTCCTAGCTTTAATGAATGGATTTGTTTCAAGACAGGTTACTAAAATAATATCTCAGTAATGATAACAATATTTAATAAAATCAAACAAATCAAGAGAATCCATCACAATGGCATACTAACTCTGGTTGTTTTTCAGACCAAACTGAATGAAGACTTCACTGTTCGTGCCTCAGGGCAAGGAAAAGCAACAATGACTGTTGTGACACTATATAATGCACAAATGAAAGCCGACCCAGCTCAATGCAAGAATTTCACTCTTGATGTCACGGTTAAAACCCTCAGGCTGAGTAAGTTTGAGTGGCAACTCAATTTTTATAGCAACTGTAGATCATAATGGAGTCTAGCTTTTCCCCTCTAGTTCAGCAGTTCCCAACCTAGGGTACACTTACCACTGGGTGCATGTGGTGAACTGGTTGGGTATGCAAAAATACTATTGGTAGTAGCGGAAAACACCAAAAAATAAGGGATTAAAATGAAAACACAAAAACAAAGTTAGAAAGTCCAACAGCCTACTTGCAAAATGAGGAAAAGGAAGTAATATACCTAGGCCTAGTAACTGATTGACAATGGTTGCTTCTTGTCCCACCCATTACTAATCATTACTAATCCACTGGCTGCTGTTCATTTACTGGTCCCAATTCAAGGTGCAAGTGCTTACCTGCAAAGCCCTAAACGGTTTGGGACAGATGACCCAAAATGCAGACTGTGCAAAGAAGCTGATAAAACCATGGATCATCTCCTCATCTGTTGTAAGAAAATCACACAGATGGACTACAAACAAAGACACAACTCTGTGGCCCAAATGAGTCACTGAAACATGTCACAAGTACCACCTGCCAGCAGTAAAGAATTGGTGGGATCATAAATCCACAAAGGTTATGGAAAATGAACACGCAAAAATACTGTGGGACTTCCGAAACCAGACTGACAATGTTTTGGAACACAATACACCAGACATCACTATTGTGGAAAAGAAAAATGTCTGAATTATTGATGTTGCCATACTGGGTGACAGTCGTATTGAGGAAAAACAACAGGAAAAATTCAGCCGTTATCAAGATCTCAAAATCAAACTGGAAAGGCTCTGGCATAAACCAGTACAGGTGGTCCCAGTGGTCATTGGCACACTGGGTGCCATGCCAAAAGATCTCAGCCAGCATTTGGAAACAATAAACATTGACAAAACCATGATCTGTCAACTGCAAAAGACCACCTTACTTGGATCTGCACACAATACACCAGACATCACTATTGTGGAAAAGAAAAAAGTCTGAATTATTGATGTTGCCATACTGGGTGACAGTCGTATTGAGGAAAAACAACAGGAAAAACTCAGCCGTTATCAACACGATCGTGAGGTCAGGAGTATTGTGCTCCAAAACTCTGTCAGTCTGAATTCGGATGTCCCAGAATAGTTTGACATGTTGTTGTTGTTGTTGTTATTATTATTATTATTATTATTATTATTATTTTATTTTATTTTATTTCTTATCCTCCTCTCCTCCTGGCTCGAGGTGGGTTACAACATTGCTAAAACATATAATCAAATGCACAATTATTTTAAAACGCTCTGTAGAATATACACATTAAAACATATTTCCATCAATTACATATTAAAATAGACTTTAAAAAGTTAGAAATAGAGTGGAAGTTTAAAATGAATATTTATCATAACACATCAATTGATTCATGTTGCATGGAGTTTATTTGAGTAGTGATTCATTCCCCTTTTGTCTTAACAATTTCTAGGTAAAAAGGAGCTAAAGGGATCCCTACAAGTTGTCGAGATCAGAATCTGTACCAGGTGAGAGTGCTGGGCCAAATCATAATGAGAGATTCATATTGAAGAAGCCGAAATTATTGCTTGACAAGGAACTCTCTTAGCGAACTTTTCCCCAAATGTTTTCTGTTTTCACATGTTTGAGATTTGTTGCGTCTGCTTTGCAAAGCAATTGAATATATCCTACTGCCAGACGGCACTGATTGGAGAGGAACAGATTGGAAAATAAAAGACTGCATTTGGAGAACTCTGGGTTTTCCTCCCACTGACATTGATAAACTGTCACTTTAGCCTTCTATGCACAGAATTACACCATTTTGCCTTTAATAGAGAAAAATGTGTATCTATCCCTCCGGGTGTTGGCAAACTGCAGTCCTCACCTTTTGTCATTGGGCTATATTGCTAAGGCTGAGAGAAACTGCAGTTCGCTGTATCTGGAAGGGCATGGGTTCTTCACCTTGACCTACAGTGGAGGGGTAAATTGTGGACAGACAATTGATTGTAAAGTGCTGCAGATTTGATTCCCAATTGACAATGAGCAATAGACAACTAAATAAAAGCCAGGCAAATGTTACATTCCCTTTTTCTCATCCACTTGTCCATTTAGGCAACATGTTCACTATCTAAAAATGATGATTCTCAACATATGTGCATAGATTTAGACAACTCATAAATCTGTATCAAAATTATTTTGGTAACCAAGGGTCTTGGTGATTCCATTAGTCAATAAACATACGCTAGATCTCACTTTTTACCTCTCAGACAGAATCACTTTGAAAATATGAAGAACTGATCTTACCAGCCTGAAATCAAATCCATTGCTAAAATCTTTCTGGGGCATTTTCTCTCCTCCTGATTCTAGATATCTTGGTAAAGTTGATGCCGCCATGTCCATCATTGATGTCTCCATGCTCACTGGTTTTGCACCTGACATTAATGACCTTAACAGAGTAAGTAAGACTTGTCATATGCAGGAAATGGCTGCTTAACTTATCCTTTGATTCTGTTGGGCTAGAATTTCTTTGCAGTCAATCAAAACTTTCAAACATGAAATTTGGATCTGCAGAAAGAGATATAGTTAGAATATAAAAGCCAACATTTCTCCAGGTTGGTATTTTCCCCACAGATATTCTTTTAAAATAATCTTTATTATATAATTTTGATTTTATTGTAATGTAGATGGCTTCCAGCCAACAGGAAACATACAGTGGGAAGACTAATCCTGAATCAGAGGAGGGAAAAGAGGAAGGAGTAAAGAAATGGCATAATTGGTTGGATGAATGGGGATAAATGAAGTTAAATATGATTGAAACTATTGGGAATGTTTTACTAAAAATCCTGGGGAAAATATGACATTTTAAGAGGGAACTGATATGTGTAGTTTTCAGAAATAGTATCATTCAAGAATGAATAATGATACCACTCTTCTAATTATTGTGAGAAAGTAATCAAAACTGGCATAATTCCCAGAGATTATTCACACTGCAGCAACTATTCTTTTCAATCTGTTTTACGAGAAGATGGCATTTTCTGTGCAAATTTTGCAATGTAGTATTTTCTGTACAGAAAACAAGTTTTTCACACAAAAAGCAGCATTTACAATATAGTATTTTTGTGCAGAAAATAAGATTATTAGCTATAATTGTCACCAATATGATAGTTACATCTGCCCAGACTGCTCTTTACACCAGAATACTTCTTCCAGTGCAGCAACATCCCAACATAAACATTTCCGAAGCACTGGAGAGTGGGACACTGAGGCATGATGCCTACAGAGCTCATCTGGTCATGGAGCATGTCAAAACTGGGTGACTGAAGCGCTCTCGCTTGGCCTCCTCCAGAACAGTTTGTCTAAATCAGTGGTTCTCAACCTGGGGTCCTCAGATGTTTTTGGCCTTCAACTCCCAGAAATCCTAACAGCTGGTAAACTGGCTGGGATTTCTGGGAGTTGTAGGCCAAAAACATCTGGGGACCCCAGGTTGAGAACCACTGGTCTAAATCCAGTCTGCAACCAAGGGAGCATTGCGGATCCCTCCAGTGCCTCTGAAATAGGGCATTTCAAGGCTGGAAAATAAAGTTTTGGGGTGATGTTCAGTTATTCAAGACTGGAAACGTGAAGTATCATGGGTCTCCCCTATACTTTCATAATTGCTGAACAGGATGCCAGGCAACATTACTACACAAAATTTATATGCGTAAGATGCTTGTTTTCAGCACCAAAATACTATTTTTAGTGGTAGTGGTGGTGGTGGTGGGATTTTTGTACAGGAAACACACAAACATGTATTAAGTCCTAAAGTGCAAAGGGTCTTAATCTTCTAGAATTCTTCTTGTCAAGGTTTCATTTTGTAACATTCTCAAACATTCCTTTTCTCCCTGTTAGTAAGAGAATTCACTAGCTGTTATGTACAGTAGTAGCTGGTGGTTTCCTTGTCAGTGGGGTGGTGAATCTTTGCCAGGTTTGAGTCTATGCTTTAAAGCAGTGGTTCCCAAACTTATTTAGCCTACCCCCTGGAAATCAATTTTTCTAAATCTTATCTTCTTTTATGCTTTTACCGCCCCCTTACAGTTATTCATCGCCCCCAAATGCACCTGTGGCCATTATCGCACCCCACCCCTCCCGATTACTGCAGCGCCCACCGGGGGGCGGTAATGCCCACTTTGGGAATCATTGCTTTAAAGAATTAATCTAGTGAGGTATTCAGCAAACTTAGTCAGCTGCCTTATAGACATGTCAGGCATCTGTTACTACTACAACCTAAGCTTTGCAAAGAGGCAAATTTATTTCCCATACATATGTATAAAAAGTTGCAGCCCAATATATTTGGAGAATTTTTTAAAAGTAGCAATAAACCTTTATCACGTGGAAATGGCAAACTTGCATAGTAGCACTAAAGCAATAAATGTAATACTGATAGCTGGTCTGCAACCTCCCCCAATGAAGCCATCAGGGTTCTTGAATTTACCCTAAGCACTAGGGCTGGGCGGTTTCGTTCGTTAATTTCATAATTCGTTATTGATTCGTATTTAAATTAGCTTACGATCCGATATTGAGCCATGCAGGAGCAACTAAAAATCGAAACGAATTTTTCAATTTATTTCGTAATTGTTTCGTAATTGTTTCGAAATCGGTTCGAAATCATTTCGAAATTGTTTCGTTATTATTTCTGTATGTCTGGTGCAAGTTTTATAGTTGTTGTTTGTTTATCAGTGATAAAAAAATAAATGATCACACCAACAGTCAACAACAGAGGGAGAGGGAAGCTTCAGAAGTTCCCCCTGTCCCATTTGGAGGTTTTTTTAGCGTATTGCGCAATTCCGTCCGCCATTAACGAATCGATTCGTAATTGTTTTGTAATTGTTTCGTAGATGTTTCGTAATTTACGAAATTTCGTATATTTCGAACTTTTTTAAAGAAAATTTTCGGAATTCTTTTAAAAAACAAAACGCAAAAACCCCCTAAAAACGAATCGAGTTTAGAAACAAATTTTTCCGTGGTTACCCAGCCCTACTAAGCACCTATCACACCACGGTCCTGGAACCTATCGCTTGCGTGATGCTGCCTCTCATTGTGATGTTGTTACTATCCGAAGTCAGAGAAACACTGCAGGATAGCAGCAAGCATGTGGCAATGTCCTCAGTCTGAAACTGGAAGATCTTCACCTCAACCTTTGCATCACCCATCAAAACTTTGTGGAAGCAAAGCAGTAAAGCAAGATAATTAGCTTGTGTAATGACAAGTCTACTTTGAATGTTTGCCTCTAATGGAAAGAAAAGTCAAATCTGTTCTTACAGGATGGCATGTACCATGTATCAATAATGTCTCTTTTACTTTTCCCAATATTTAGCTTTCTAGAGGAGTTGACAGATTTATCGCCAATTTTGAAATTGACAAAGGCTACTCTGACAGGGGGAATCTTATCATTTACTTGGACAAGGTAACACTCAATGGCTAATTTATAAACATGCAGGAGCTGGTGTGCGTGATGGCAAAGATTATGAATGAAGGCATTTCAATGAAATGAGTCAGAGCTGGAAAAAGTGACATTTTTGAACAGCAACACCACTATTCTTTCCAGTTGTGAAGATTTGGGAGGTGTAGAGAAATTACTTTTTCAAACACTGGTGTGGATATCTACATTTTAAAATCTATTTTTCCCTTCTCAAGGTGTTCAGAGAAGGATTTTGTCTTCACAAGGCATCTCTAATTGCATCAAACTCTGTAGGAGAAGGTTCTGTGCCTTCAAGTTGCCTCTTAGCTTACTACAATCACTCTAATTTTACAGAAATTTCTTATACAAGAAATACTCATTTCCTTCATCTGAAATAGACCCTACAGCACTAGGTATTTGTTAATGACCTCCCATATGACCAGAACTGACCTTGCTTAGCTACACAATCGGATGGGATCTAGTGCTACCATAATCAGTGATTAGTGGCCACCTAGATCAGTGGTTCTCAACCTGGGGTCCCCAGATGTTTTTGGCCTACAACTTCCAGAAATCTCAGCCAGTTTATCAGCTGTTAGGATTTCTGGGAGTTGTAGGCCAAAAACATCTGGGGACCCAAGGTTGAGAACACTGACCTAGACTGATGTCTGAACTTATCTCATCATGTTAACTTTGCCATTAAGAAATTTTAAGAAGTTTGGCAATGCCAATCAAGACATTGTGGATCACCTAGTGCTAAGTAAATGTATTTATGTACTGAATGTTTTGAATGTATATCCTACCATTTTCTCAAAGTGATATTCATTCTTCATCTTTCATGGTGAGTTCTGATTGGAGTTGGGGAAACTTTCTGATATTTATCCAAAAGCATTAAGTGGGACACAATATATGGCCAAAGTGCCAGGTTCAGTGCTGCTCCCCATGATTGTGTTGGCGAGGTCATAGAATCATAGAATCAAAGAGTTGGAAGAGACCTCATGGGGCATACAGTCCAACCCCCTGCCAAGAAGCAGGAACATTGCATTCAAATCACCCCAGACAGATGGCCATCCAGCCTCTGTTTAAAAGCTTCCAAAGAAGGAGCCTCCACCACACTCCGGGGCAGAGAGTTCCACTGCTGAACGGCTCTTGCAGTCAGGAAGTTCTTCCTCATGTTCAGATGGAATCTCCTTTCTTGTAGTTTGAATGGGCAGATCATTCTAATCTACTAGTCTTTCTCACACGTGGGATGTTCTTATTATGTCCTTGAATCCCATGAACCTTGGATTCCATTTTTAAAAATAATGCTTGGGTTAACTTATTAAATACAATAATAGGATGGAATGGTTTCCTCAAGCTAGTTTAGGAAATCTGTAATTGTGGGAAATGCCTCCATTGGCAGGCTGATACCCAAAGACTTGTTTTCCCTTTTTGTCCCCACATTCCCAGGTCTCTCACTTAACTGATGAATGTGTGCAGTTTAAAGCTCATCAGTTTTTTGAAGTCGGTCTCATTCAGCCAGCATCCGTGAAGGTGTACAGCTATTATAATCTAGGTAATGGCTATCACAATTCTTCTAGGGGACTCAGCACAAGGAGGCCAGCTGGACAGCTTGAAGGCCAATTGGGATTTCACATACAGTTACTTCAGGTGTTTCTGACAGTCCCTTCTCCCACTTCCATCCTTGATATATGAATCAAGAAAGCCAAAGTGAAGAAAGCCATGACCCATTCTGGTTAAGAGCTCAACTCTTCAAACAGCTTTCATAACACAAACTGTGTTGCCCAAACACAACATAAGAAAACGTGAATCAGAGGGGAGGAAATAAAACCAGGGCCAGCTGATGGTCTCTGAGGGGTTTGGTATGGTCTTCAAAATCATATCACCCGGCCTTATCACATTAATTCAAGGCATGGTGAAAACCTTGTTTTCAGTTTCCTTCAAAATTTCATAGTAAAACCTGATGCCAGTTCACCCAGTAACATTGAGCTAACCAGTTGCCATTACAAAATACACTTCTGGGCCCCAAACCAAAGTATGGAGAACAGGGAAAAGGGGATGGATCTCTCCATTGAAGAATGTGCTCAACGAATCTTGTTCAACCTGCCTGCTCCCTTATTGAATTATAGAATTATAGAGTTTGAAGGAACTACAAGGTCCAACCAGTCCAACCTACCATCATGCAGAAGACACAATCTGAAAATTGGATCCCCATTACATAAAGCACAGTGATGTGTTACTAAGATTTCCATTTTGAGCAATAGGTCCTCCCACTCATGTTCTGTGCATTCCCTAAGTTGCTCATTCAGGGAACTGAAGTGTGCAGGAGTCCCCATATGAAGTAAATTGCATCTTGTTTCATTTCTCTTTCTCAGATGAGCAGTGCATCAAGTTCTACCATCTTCCCAAAGAAAGTGGTCTCTTTAGTAAGATATGCCATGGTGATATTTGCCGATGTGCAGAAGGTAAGATGAGGTGGGAAGATGATACTTCTGCTGTCCCAGAAGAAGGATTTGCTTTTGACAAGTGAATATATGAACATTTTAAAATTGTAATGTTTGTGCTTTCCGGATATATGAGGGTTGAATGAAAAAGTAATGCCTCCACCTTCGTTACTTGGGTTTGGATAGGAATATTTTAATAAATCAAACGCAGAAATAATCCTTAGAATGTGCTCTTTAACTACCACTATTCACTTTTCCACATAATCACCAGACAATTGGATACATTTCTGCCAACAATGAACAAGTTTTCTGAAGCTGTCACAGAAGAAGTCGACACTCTGTTTCCGCAACCATTGTGCACAGATCTTCCGATAGCCAAGCAAAGCAATAATGTGACCCACACATTCTTGTGAAATGCTGATTATGCTTGAAATTTCTCTCTGAGTGATACGACCATCGTCCTGAATCAATCTGTCAGCCTTTTGCTTGTGAAACTCAGTGGTTGCTGTCACAGGACGTCCAACTCTTTGTTTCTCACGCAAGTCAGATGTTCTTGCCTCAACATCTTTAAATTTATTCGAATCATAGAATCAAAGAGTTGGAAGAGACCTCATGGGCCATCCAGTCCAACCCCCTGCCAAGAAGCAGGAATATTGCATTCAAATCACCCCTGACAGATGGCCATCCAGCCTCTGTTTAAAAGCTTCCAAAGAAGGAGCCTCCACCACACTCCGGGGCACTGCTGAACAGCTCTCACAGTTCTTCCTCATGTTCAGATGGAATCTCCTCTCTTGTAGTTTGAAGCCATGGTTCCACGTCCTAGTCTCCAAGGAAGCAGAAAACAAGCTTGTTCCCTCCTCCCTGTGGCTTCCTCTCACATTTTTATACACTTGCCGAACAACGCACAGTACTCACGTCAAGACAATCTCCATAAACAGCTTACATTCTCTGATGAATCTCCTTTGGCATGACACCTTCTGCTGTCAAGAATTCAATGACTGAATGTCTCTTAAGTTGCATTGGCCGACCATCTGCACAGGGTTCCATACTTCGCACTTTAACAACACAACCATTCAATGCTAAGGCTTCCCGCCAAAATGGAACTGTAGAGGAGAGTCTACTGAATAAGCCAGTACCTGCCGCATACCAGTACTGCCATCTGTTGAGGAGTTATGAAGGTGGAGGCATTACTTTTCATTCAACCCTCATATCTATGTCAGCATTCTCAAAACTGATAATTTCAGATGGTTTAAAGTACATTGCAGTTATCCTGCACTTTTGACTGTACTCAGCTGGAAATGTATAGAGAGATGAAGGTTGAGGAAGAATGAAATGTTCTTGTGGGCTGACACTTCCATTATGTCATATTGTCCAAATCATCATCATCATCATCATCATCATCATCATCTTTATTTATACCTCACCGCCATCTCTCCAGAGGGGACTTGGGGTGGCTAACATGAGGCCAAGCCCAAAAATACAATACAGCAATATAAAATACAAAGCTACAAAAAATTACATCACCATAAAATACATAACGTATCAAAATAAAATAAGCAGTGCAAAATAACATAGTGAAAAATAGAACATAATGGGTGGGCCAAATGCACAAGATAAAATGATAAAACCTTGGATGAAATAGGAGTGGAAAAGTGTATTTGTGAGGGAGGAGCTCAAAGGGATGAATAGTGTGGTTAGGGCTTCATTATGGACGAGGGGAGAGCTGGAAGGGATTTCAAATCCCTCATTCAGTACAGGATCTCTAGATAGATTATCCCCAGAAGGTGGTTGTCCAGCTAGGCCTGGGTAACAACGGAAAAATTGTTTCTAAAATCGATTCGTTTTTTGGGGTTTTTGCGTTTCGATATTTAAAAGAATTCAGAAATTTTTCTTTTAAAAAGTTTGATATTTACGAAATTTCGTAAATGTTTAAAAAATTACGAAACATTAACGAAACAAATACGAAACAATAACGAATCGATTCGTTAATGGCGGACGCGACCGCGCAATACGCTAAAAAACCTCCAAATGGGACAGGGGGAACTTCTGAAGCTTCCCTCTCCCTCTGTTGTTGACTGTTGGTGTGATATTATAATTTTTTTTCACTAATTAAACAAAAAACAACTATAAAACTTGCCCCGGACATGCGGAAATAATAACGAAATGACCTCAAACCGATAACGAAACGAATACATAACAAATCCGAAGCATTTACGAAATTAATTTAAAAATTCGTTTCGTTTTTAAGTTGCTCCAGAATGGTTCTTATCGTTTCGTTATAAAAAAAATAACGAATTTTTAACGAATTACGAATTAACGAAACGAAACCGCCCAGCCCTATGTCCAGCCTCTTTCTGAAGATGTCTAGAGAAGGAGATCCCACATCTCTCTAGGCAATTCATTCCATTGCTTCTACTGTTGAATTGATATTTACTCTTCAGTAACTTGAAAACATTAGACCTAATCCTACCCTCTGAGGTAACCTAAAACAGGCTTTCTCCCTAGAGATACACTCAGACACAAAGACAGGCTTTGGGGATCTTTGTTCATGTGTTTTATTTTCTGCTCTCTTTCTTTATGTTCTTCTCCCAAAGAAAGCTGCTCTTTGCTCAACAATATAGAAACAGATGTCAATCTGCTGCGACGAGGTCAACTGGCCTGCCAACCAGGCGTGGATTATGGTGAGCACATTCTACATGGCTGAACCCCATTAATGTGGCAGTGACTCAGTGAGAATGCAAATAGTCAACACACACCAGCCCAAATTCACAAACTGGGATAGCTGATTCATATTTATTTTTGACTAGCCGTCCCCTGCCATGCATTGCTGTGGTTCTGTGTGGGAGGTTTGGCCCAATTCTATCATTGGTGGAGTTCAGAATGCTCTGTGATTGTAGGTGAACTATAAATCACAGCAAATACAACTCCCAAATGTCAATGTCTATTTTCCCCAAACTCCACCAGTGTTCACATTTGGGCATATTGAGTATTCCTGTAGAGTTTGGTCCAGATCCATCATTGTTTGAGTGCACAATGATCTCTGGATGTAGGTGAACTACAACTCCAAAATCAAAGGACACTGCCCACCAAACCCTTCCAGCATTTTCTGTTGGTCATGGGCGAACTGTGTGCCAAGTTTGGTTCAATTCCATCGTTGGTGGGGTTCAGAATGCTCTTTGATTGTAGGTGAACTATAAATCCCAGCAACTACAACTCCCAAATGACAAAAACAATTTTTGAGTGAAGGTCATACATTGGGTTGTTAGGTGTCTTGTGTCCAAATTTGGTGTCAATTCCCTCAGTGGTTTTTGAGTTCTGTGAATTGCACAAACGAACATTACATTTTTATTTATATAGATAAGACTGGTTGGCCTTGTCCATTGCAGTTGCTTGGTGTATTTTGGGCCTCCTGTGATGAGAAACAAAGGAAATCATGTATTGGGGAGTTAAATCTGGCTTTCGGTTTACCAGTATCGTCATCAGCACCAGCAATCATGTCAAAAAAATTAAGGCTTTTGTGAAGTAAAACAACTAAACATCTTACATTTCTCTGTTTTGAAGTATACAAAGCCAAGCTGATTCGAATAGAAGACGAAAGTGGTTATGACAACTACTTCATGCAAGTTCTGGAAAAGATTAAAGAAGGTAAAAAGGCCCATCTGTTTTTGTTTTGTTTGTTTTTTGTCGTGTCAGGTGTGACTGCAGGTCGCTCCTGGTATGAGAGAATTGGCTGTCTGCAAGGACGTTGCCCAGAGGATGCCTGGATGATTTGATGTTTTTATCATCCTTGTGGGGCTTCTCTCATGTCCCCGCATGAGGAGCTGGAGCTGATAGAGGAAGCTCATCCGCCTCTCCTTGGATTCGAACCTGCGACCTGTTGGTCTTCAGTCCTGCCAGTAGAGGGGTTTAACCCACTGTGCCACCAGGGGCTCCGGCCCATCTTGTTGGAATTGGCTTACTGGATATAAAAGCAGGAATTTTTTCTGTAAACAGCTACAGCTTTGTAATCTCATATTCGTTGGTGTTATATGGTGTCCAGTCAACTTTGACTTTGGCAACCCTATGAAGATTTTTTTTCAATTTTTTTAAAGGGGGTTGCCTTTGCCTTTCTCTGAGACTAAGGACCCTTCCACACAGCCATATAACCCAGAATATCAAGTCAGAAAATCCCACAATATCTGCTTTGAACTGGGTTATCTGAGTCTACACTGCCATATATTCCAGTTCAAAACATATAACGTGGGATTTTATTCAGCTGTGTGGAAGGGGCCTAAGACAATGCAGAAATTGTGACAGTCCACAGAAGGCTTTGACACAATGAGAAGGCTATGTAAATGCAGGCAACTGAATGGGAAATATACAGAGTGATACAAGGGTTGAATGAAAAGTAATGCCTCCACTTTTGTAACTCCTCAACAGATGGCAGTACTGGTATGCAGAAGATGCTGGCTTGTTCAGTAGACTCTCCTCTACAGTTCCATTTTGGCGGGAAGCCTTAGCATTGAATGGTTGTGCTGTTAAAGTGTGAAGTATGGAACCCTGCGCAGATGGTTGGTCAATGCGACTTAAGCAATGTGCAGTCATTGAATTCTTGACAGCAGAAGGTGTCGCCTCAACATCTTTAAACTTACTCGCCCAAGGACGCACAGTACTCACATCAACACAATCACCATAAACAGCTTGCATTCTCTGATGAATCTCCTTTGGGGTGACACCTTCAGCTGTCAAGAATTCAATGACTCCATGTTACTTAAGTTGCATTGACCGACCCTCTGCGCAGGGTTCCATACTTCGCACTTTAACAACACAACCGTTCAATGCTAAGGCTTCCTGACAAAATGGAACTGTAGAGGAGAGTCTACTGAACAAGCCAGTACCTGCCGCATACCAGTACTGCCATCTGTTGAGAAGTTACGAAGGTGGAGGCATTACTTTTCATTCAACCCTTGTACAATCCCATTGAGGTGCAGTTTACGTTTGATATATTTTAACACACCTGGATGCTTCCTGGGGACTAATCTTAACTCCTATGTCTGGGGAGAGGGCTCCATCTCTGAGACATCTTCTGCATGTTTCTCCTGCAAGAAAGTCTGCTCTGCTGGGTCCAGGACCACCTCCCCCCCCCCCTTAATATGTTGTAGTGTGGACAGAGGGGCCTTAAGCTGCTGGACCTTCTTTTACAAGTGAGCCACTATATTCAATTTCAAGTTCACTTTATTATGGCCAGTGACCAGTTTGAGAGAAGAGGGACATAGTCCTGTACAAGCATATCAGAGTTAAGAGATTTAAGACTTTAAAATAGCTATACTTGCAGTAAGAGTCACTATATTTCACTTACTGCAAGTATAGTTACCCATATTCTCAAGCAATAACACAAACATTCCGTAGTTCCCTTTTCCTCCATTTTTAGTAATCATAAGTTGTTCTGTCGCGTGCTGGGCTTGAAATGAATTGCTTTTAAAACAGGACGTATAACTTTAGCCCAGCGGGAAGCCAGGGAGCTAAGAGAAATTCATAAGGATTTTCACCAGAAACAGTCTCTAGAGGGCTTGTAAAATATAACAAAGTCTTTTATTGGTGAACAATCAACAGAAACTTCCTTTGTCTTCAAAAGGTTAAACAAATGCTTCCAGACCTTTTTGCAACTGGTGGCTTCTAACTGTTACTTTTACTCTAAAGGAAAATCCCTTTCCAAACTTCTCCCAGGCTGACTGTGAACCTAAACCTAACTGATGTGGGCACCACTACCGGGTTGAACTGCATCTCAAAGCACCGAGTGGACCTACCAGTAGGCCTGTAGTCACTTCAGCTGGAGTTCTTAGATAGTCAAAGCGGCTTTTCCCTCCGAAATTCCTCAGAGCTTTAGGGCCGTTTCCCTGTAAATCTTTGGGAATCCTTTTGCTCTTAAGACTGTTCTCCCTCGGGAAGTCTTAAGGGTTGAAGCCTTTGTACAGGAGAAGTCTGTATACGTCCTGTACATTGACTTTCCTTGCTGAGACTGACTGAAAATGGCTCCCTTCCCTTCTCAATTGTCCTGAACAGGGGGCGGAACCAAACTTAACAATGATGGACAGGGGGCCTGCCCTATAACTGCAAACTTTAACAGGAAGCCACCCTTCTGCTGAATCCCAAGCCTTCGGCTGCAAGCAAACACTTAATACAAGGCAAATAAAGTGGGAGCTTCTGGTACAGCTGTACCAGCACATAAGTAGAGAATGCAACAGAAATCTGAGACTTCCTCTCAAACTACCAATTCTTGCTATCTATACAATCTATACAAATCTATACTATGTGTACAAATTAGTAGAAGAGGGAAGATGGAATATCTGATTCCATTGTGGAGTGAGCATCTACTGTGACATTTATTCAATAAATTTGCTTGCCAACTAAAAATTATGGACACAATGACATCAGGGCAAGATGGGCAATTATTCCTTCCCTGCTCCTGTGTTGTCTACTATTCAACATATCTGTCAGTTAAACCAGTTAATTGACTCACTGCCTTGATGCAAATATTTGCATTGTTTTGTGTGATTCCTCTAGGAAGTGATCCAAATCCAGAAGCCAGTCCTCGCAGGTTTATCAGCAAGATGAAATGCAGGGAAACTTTGAATCTGAAGGTGAACAATGACTATCTGATCTGGGGTGTCGGCAGTGATCTGTGGCCCACAACGAATAAGTATGTATTTCATTTCATTGGTTTATAGATGTATACTTTGCTTCTATTTATTTATTATTGTCTCTAGCCAGTGAGCAAAAATAACATTTATTTTCTCAGTTAGGAAGGCAATTACCTACTCCCAGTTAGGTGAATCTCTCCCATCTTGAACTCTAGAAAAAAAATGCTTTCATGGGAACTTTCCTTCAGTAGTGTGTGTCTCCCTAAGAAGGAGAGATGTGTCATGAATGACTTTTCAATGACTTTGAAGCATAGGTTCTTTTTATTGGGACCAGGGACCATGTTGATCAGGGGCCACTCTCCAACATTAGTGCCAAAAGAGTTACGATCAGTTTTTGGTCAACTTTAGATTTGATTTAGTTATTTGGGGTGCTGATTCAGAACATTTCAGTGGATAGTCCAAATCAGCTCTAGTTTCTGATACTGAACATATGCCATCTGCTTGCCCACAGAAAACTGTATTTAATAATCTAGAGATGATGTGGTAGTAGTAATCTTTCGTGGCTAGTCTCCTCTCCTGACATCCCTGTTGCCACAGCACTATAAGAGAGTTTTGCGAGACCAATCGCTCTCGTTGCTGCAAGTTTTCAAAGCAACGGTGTATTGAGCACCGGGATCGTGGCGCAGCTGGCTGAGTGTCAGCTGCATTAAGATCACTCTGACCAAAAAGGTCATGAGTTCGAAGCCAGCCTGGGTTGGAGTGGGTTTCCAACCAATTGTGTGTAGCCTGTTGTCGACCTTTGCAACCTGAAAGGCAGTTGCATCTGTCAAGTAGGAAAATAAGGTACCACCTTAAAGTATGGGGAGGCTAAATTAACTGATTTATGAGGCCATAAAGAAGACTCCAGCAAAGCATTCCAGCGGGGAAGCATGCGGGGAATGCGGAAATGCTTCATCAGCGTCGCAGATGGATGATGAAAGCGACAGCGCCCCTGGCGGCCAGAAAAAGTTAAATAGCCTCTGTCTATGTCTGTATATATTTGTATGTCAAAAATTGGCATTGAATGTTTGCCATATATGTGTACACTGTAATCCGCCCTGAGTCCCCTGCGGGTTGAGAAGGGCGGAATATAAAAGTTGTAAATAAATAAATAAATAAATAAAATCATGGTGAGGTCGCGGACCGTATTTTCATTCTTGTGGACCACTGGTTGGGAACCACTATTTCAAATATAGTGCCTAAGGTCTAAAAAAATGCCAGACCTTCAAAAACAGAATTAATAAAAAATAGAAATTGAAAAGAAAAACAAAAAATCAAAAGAAAGATTTTTTGACTTCCGTTTTTTAAAGGATATGTGTGTTTTGAACCTTATAGAGTTCAAATGAACAGTTTTTGGAATGATGTCTTTCTATCCCTAGTGACATAGGGCAAGTAGTCAAATACCAGAGTGTTTGGACCTACAAAAATCTTAATGTGCTCTTCTTGTCAGTAGCCATTTTAAATTTTCTAAAATTACAAATGCCTCCAAAATGGACAAAAAAAAAAGAGCAGCCCTCAACAAATTTGTCACCCCAAAATACACCCCTAATAAAAACTGGCCATTTCAAGGTGTGTGAAGTGGCTGAGGAATGGTCCTTATTCACTTCAGTCCAGTTTGGGTAGTCCTCTTTCTTCTTCCACAGCTTTCTTGTTAATGAATTTACCTTTCTGCAAAGATTCAGAACTCTACTCTTTTGATCTTTTCCAGTATCTACTACCTCATAACCAAAGATACCTGGATTGAGAGGTGGCCAAGTGAGGATGAATGCCAAGATGAAGAATTTCAGACACTCTGCAATGACTTTGACCAGTTGTCATTTTCATTAACAATTATGGGCTGCCAGGCCTAGCTGGAGTTGCCTGCTGTATGTTATTCATGGAAGGCTAGTTTTTGAGTTATTGCTCAGAAGTCAATTCCCTCCTGAAGTTTTAATGTTCCCCCCTTTTTGCTCTCCTTTTCCTCTTCAAATTGTTTATGCATAAAATAAAGGCAGAATTACTTACTGTACTACTGTATTGATTGTTATTACTGTGTCTGCTGTTTTTTGATTTATTGTTGTGGTGTCTCGGTGTGCATAATGTTTTGCAGGGAGGACAGGTCCCGGCCCCCAATGGATGCACAATGTACAATTTGGCACAGAAAGAGCAGGCAGGAAAAACAGAGGAAAAGAGAGGTGTGTGAGAAGAATTGTCAGGCCTGTAGAATGAAAGAATGCCTCCGCTTATTGAATAACATCAATCAAAACCCCAGAAACTATAAAACAAAAATATAAGCTCTACAAGACGCTAAGCTTACTAAATAACTGGTTTGTTACTAAATAAGGATGGTTGAGAAAATCATTTGTTTTCCCCATCTTAATGGAAACTTATTAAACTCATACCGCCCCACTTGCACACAGAACGAAACACAATTGTTGTTCATTCATTGAGTCGCTTCCGACTCTTCGTGACCTCATGGACCAGCCCACGCCAGAGCTCCCTGTCGGCCGTCACCACCCCCAGCTCCTTCAAGATCAAGCCAGTCATTTCAAGGATACCATCCATCCATCTTGCCCTTGGTCGGCCCCTCTTCCTTTTTCCTTCCATTTTCCCCAGGAACACAATTACATGACCATATTTGTAGCTTTCTGAATTTTGCAATCCAATCTGCAAATTCCATAAATGCAGAAAAATATGAATGTCATTAGACATAAAATGTAGTCTTTCAAAATAGCGTACACATTTTGCTATGCTTAGATTTAGAAAATACACATGAAAAGTATTTCCTTTTTTAATAAGAAAGTTATCCATTTTAGTGGTACTTATTGCAACTCAATCAACACATTGTGCAAGTTGCAAAAGGTATAACCAGTTGTAAAAGGTTGTAAAAGGTATAACAAGTTGCAAAAGGTATAACCAGTTTCTCTACTTTAAGAACACTACCTCTCTGCTTCTGTAGTGATTAAGCTTCTCCACTGGCTGGAGGGGGCTGGGCCAGATGGCTTTTGGGGGTCTCTGGCATCTCATCCCCTGGAGCTATTTACACAGACTGGATGGCCATCTTCTGGGAGGGCTTCCCCTGGTCTTCCTTCCTGACTGAATGGGGTTGGGCTAAGTGGCCTTACTGTTATCACATGCTTATCTGTGTAAATATGGGTGCCCTACTGTTCTTTTCATAGCGGAAAATGCTTTGTGCTGTAACTTCAATGTCCCTGGAAGGATGATTCTATTGATTAGTGGTTCTGGTTTCCAAAGACATCCATTTTAGTACCATAGTAAAAATGTGGGTAATGCTTTATGTTGAAATAATTAGTTCTCATGAGTATATTCTCTTCTTTACCAATTACTAATTACCGACATATATCCCATAAGAACACATGGTTAGACTGAAAACACAAAAAACATAAGAACACACAGTAAAAGTAAATAAAGGAATGTGCAGTCCCTACTATCCCCTCCTCCACAATAGATATGCAGAGAATTAGTTAAGGCAAACCCATAGACGCAAATTCCTCGGTCATTCCAGACACAGGGTCATTTCAGACCATTTCACCCACATATGTACACCAGGGTATCAGAAGCAAGTTGGCTACCTCTCACTTAATTGTGCAATGACTTAATAGCTTAAAGAATTTAGAAAGATAGAATAACTTTATTGTCACTGTACACTGTACAGCGAAGGGAAATGCTTTCCCCAACACACATCACAAAAACAACATCCCCATCCCTCCACACTTCAACCACCAACCACCATTTCAGAAGGAAGGTCTGTTCCTGTGCATGGGTTGCTTCCCTTTTGACTTAAGGATACACCACATCAGTCCTTAATCGCAAAATACTCTGATTTTCTTTTGTTTTCAGCCTCTTCCTTTTCAGCGGCTTGTAAATTTCTTTTGCAATAGTTGAAAATTAAAGGTGGTGACTTCCTGTATAAGGCATGCTTGCACATCATCTCAGTCTTCTTTGAGGAAGAATAAATAACTTGAAGTCTGCAAGTAGACAGCTGAAGAGTGGCAGGATGATGCTCTGGAAAAGGCAAAGGGAAAGGGAAGGAAGAGGAGAAAAGGGAGAGGGAGGGGGAACGAGAAGGGGAGGGGGGAGGGAAAGGGGAAGGGAAGGGGGAAGGGACGGGGAAGGGAAAGGGAGGGAAGCGAAAGAGGAAGGGATGGGGAAGGGAAGGGAAAGGGAAGCGAAAGAGGAAGGGATGGGGAAGGGAAGGGAAAGGGAAGGGGAAGGGGAAGGGAAAGGGAAGGGGAAGGGAAGGGAAGGGGAAGGGGAAGGGAATGGGGAAGGGAAGGGGAAGGGAAGGGAATGGGGAAAGGAAGGAGAAAGGGAAGGATGGGGAGGGATAGCAGAAATAGAAAGAAAGAGAGACACAGAGAAAGATAGAAAGAGAGAGAAAAGGCAAAAAGAAAAATAGAAAGCAAAGGATATGGAAAAAGAGAAGAAGAAAAATAAAAGAGAAACAGAAAGAGTAAGAGAAAATAAATGAGAAGGCCAAAAGAGAAGGAGAAAAGAAAAACTGAATAGAGAAGGGCAAAGAGAAGAGGGAAATCGGAGAGGTGAGAGAAGAGACAGAAAGGAGGAGGAAGAGATAAGAGAAATGAGACAGATGAGTGAGATGTGTGAGGTATGTGAGATGTGTATAGTGTGTGATGAGAAAGAGATAAAAGATAGGAAAAATAGAAAGACAGAAAGATATAAAAAAGAAAAAGAAAGAAAAGAGATATGATAAGGGTGATATGAGATGGGCAATGTGTGTGAGATGTGCATGGTGTATGTGATGTGTGTGGTGTGTAATGTGTGTGATTTGCCTAGTGTATGAGGTGCGTGTACTGTGTATGTGGTATGTGTTCTGGGCAATGGATGTGTTCTGTGTGATGTGCGTGATATGAAATGGGAGATATGAAATGGGCAAGATGTGAGATGTGTGTGGTGTGTGATGTGTCTGGTATGTCTGGTGTATGAGGTTTGTGTATTATGTGTGATCTGAGGTGTGTGTTCTGTGTGATGAAAATGTTCTGTGTGATGTGTGTGGTGTGTGGTTGAATGGGAAGGAAGGGAGGAGGGGGAGGGAGGGGAGGAGAGGGAGGGGAGGGGGAGGGGAGGGGGAGGGGAGGGAGAGGGAAGGAAGGGGGAGGGAAGGGAGGGGAGGGAGGGAGAAGGGGGAGGGAGAGGGGGAAGGAGGAGGAGAAGGAGGGGAGGGAGAGGAGGGGGATTGGAGTAGGAGGGGAAAGGAAGGCGAGGGGGAGGTGAAGGGGGAGAGGAAGGAGATGTGAGAGGAAAGAAAAAGAGATGGATGGAGGAGGATTGAACAGTTAGACTTTTGCCATAACTGGACACACGTCTCAAGTCTTTGGGATTTCAAACTGGTGGGAAGTATAAAAAACAGAAAAAGAGTGGACGGTTAAGCATGCCTTCCTTCAGCCAGAGCCTTCCACTCTCATCTCAAGATGTTTGGGGTTGAGTTCTGTCAAAGACTGGCCAATCCTGTGATTTCCTGTTTAGTTAAAATATAGCCAGAAGTGGATCAAACATCCAGACTGTTGAGGAGAGGAATGGGCATTGGGCAACCCATCAGGAAGAAGGCAAAATGCCTTGGCATAGTGTTTCTCTTGATTTCCTCTCATTCCGTCTGGCCCTCACTTCTAGTCATGTTGTCACCTGTTGTCTCTGCAAATTCACCTTTCTCTCCAAGTCTTTGCCACACAGATCACAGCCAAAGGGCTTGAAGGTAATCTGTTTCCGACTGAGGTTGATGCAGCTGAAATCCTGGCTGAAATCTTTGCCATATCCCAAAGTACGCAATTTTGGGCCAAGATCTAACATATTACGCCTGTTGCGTACCATCTGGCTCCTTTCACAGATCAGAAGTCCAGCAGGGAATAGGAGTTGAAGACCCCCAAGCCAGGAACCAAGCCACACCAATTCAAACTGTTTAAATGAATCAGAGAAGGAAATGCAAAGACTACAAAAAGACTTTTGGAACAAACTTTGTACTGCACTGCATTTGATTCACCTTAGGAGTGACTAATGAGGAACGGGGCAACTAAGGAGCTCTGATTTCAGTTTGAAGCCACTTGCATCCTTCTCCTTGCATCCTTGGCAACAAAACAGGCCTGGGTCTTTCTCAGCCATATGTGTGAGCATTTCTTCATGGCACAGATCTTCATGGTACAGCTTATTCATACATAGTCTTTGGGGTTACAAGCTGGTCTTGGATGCAAAAGAAAAGAAAAAGGCAGTAGAGACATCCTGTCTTCAGAAAGCTGAAGAAAGGAATGGGCAACCCATCAGGAGGAAGGAAAAATGCCTTGGCATAGTGTTTTTCTCAATTTCCTCCTATTTCATGTCATTTTCATTTCAGGTTGTGTTGTCTCCTGCTGTCTCTGCAACTCAACATTTCTCTGGAAGCCTTTGCTAAAGAGATCATAGCAAATGGCTTGAAATGGGTGTGTTTCCATCTTCGGGGGTGGATGGGTGGGTGATGTGTCTGGAGCTTTGTCTGAAAGCGTTGCCTCCCCCTCGGTGCTTGTGGGGCTTGTAGTCCAAGCTGTGCTCCTGCAGAAAGAAAGAGCTTTAGTACACTTGCACAAGGCGTATGGTACCCAAACAGCAGTCCTGCTGGCACAAGTGTTTAACCCATTTCACCACTGGGAGCTCCCTCTCACAGAGTAATTATATTGTATTTAGTAGTGTGGGTTGCAAATGTTAGGATGATCATCTTAGAGTTTTGTTATTTGCTGTGATTTAGCTTTACATATAGAAAAACATTTTTTTCTATTCCCTTTGCTTTTTGCAGGCTTTTTTCTGCTTGCTTGCATGTTGGTATTTCCATTCAATTAAAAAAAAAAAACAATTAATTTAACCAAGATACCAAATGTTTCCACTCTGCTAAAATATAAAGCACTAAACACTTTGGGAAAGGGGGAAGTGGTATCTACATGCAGACAAGGAGCAAAACACATTGCGTTACATCCATCTGAGAAACACAGGTAAAAACAAAGCAGCAAGCATGCACCACAGAGT